TAACCTTCGTTTAGGGCAGCGCAATTGATGCAGAGAACGGTACACCCGACACCGTTCTTTACTGCAACGAGGCATTTCCAAAGAGTGGGAATTATAAAAACTTCAAGGATAGAATTGACTCTATCCACCAGCTGGTCTCCGTAAGTCAAAGCCTGGGCTGGGGTGCCAATTACGGAGGAACGCTTGCTAACCCGCGCTACAAATCCAGCGATCGAAAGCTTCTCTGGTGAACTCCACCGGAACTTCCTACCTCTCTCGTTTTGCCGCCCATCCTAGGCACGAGCTTGCTGTAAGACACTTTTAATCCACGGCGCAAGAACTCAATGATCTCATGCTGACATTTTTCGGGTTCCCAGGTCAAGGTGACCAACAAGGGCACCAACGCAACACGAAACCGGCAAGTTAAAGCCGGTCAGCAGGTTCTTGTCACGGACGGAACGAACCAAAAAGCACCGAAGTCGAGACAACGAAAGGTCACGCAGACGAGCGCAAGAACAGGCGCACTTACCTCTACAGCCGTGCAGAACGCGAGCCCACCCACCATCAGTGGTGCATAGGAGCACCCTGGTGAGGTGAGGCCCGACGCGGCCAGCGACCAGGCCTCGGAGAGGCCTAAGAAACGCCGAAGAAGGGAGAAAGGCCCCCTGGAGAGGGTGGCCGAGGAACACGAACGCCAGGCGGCTGCGGCTGGCAGAGCACCTGCAGTGTCCGAGCCTGAATTCGCCGGACAAATCAATGCCTCTGAGAGCGACAATGGCAACGTTGTCTCGGCCAACACCAATATTGGTTCGTCCAATACTCCAATGAACGTCGACAGAAGCTCTTCCGGACAGAACCACCAGGGCACCGGAGTAGCCACTTGGCAAATGTCTACCGCCGACACCTACGACTATCCTTACTCAACTCCCGCGGGCGCCAATCTCCCAATTGGTTCAACTCCGTATACCTCCTTAGCTGCTCCAGGCAACAGGGCTTGGACACCTAGGCCCCATCACCGGTCTTTTGCGGCATATGCATCGACACCGACTGCTGGGCCTGTCAACAACACACCTAACAACGCCCTTGCATTGACTTCAGCTGCTGCTCCTGTTAATAATTCCTTCAACAACGCCCCTGCGCTCATTGGCAATTGGGATCATGGATTCGATGGCTATGAGCAAGGGCCCCATGAGCAAAGCTATTTTGATCTTGACCCTCATGCCTTGTCCGCAGCTACTGCCGTCAACTCCAGGCTGCAGACTCAATCTTCCTTCGAAGATCATGAGCCTCAGACCCAGACCGTATCAGCTGCTCAACCTAGGGCAACATGGGCTCACGGCGACGGTACCCAGGCTTTCGGCGCGCCGTACTCCGGTTCCAGTTCTCCAACCCCCCTTTCGCAGAACGCCGAGACGGCCGATACTCCTACTGCGCCCGCCGGCCAGGCCGCTAACTCCCGGGATGCCGGTCCGGGTAACGGGCAGGTTAAGTGGGATGGTTGGGTCATTGACATGGAAGACTAGAGGCAGCTGGTCACAACCACCCACCTCGACTACGGGCGCGGATCAAGACCACCCCTCTCAGAAGAGCAGGCCCGATGCAGCCGTCACCGGTTGGATGAAGTGATCAAGGTGGCCGCTTCATCTGCCGTGGTGGGAACACTTCCAACAGGAGTCGTCACTCGAGGTCTGGAGCACATCAATCAGGATAGGGGCGCAGGCAGATGTGGAGTTGGAGAGGACAGTGATCTCGCAACACGACGAACGCAGCCTGGCTGCTTCCCAGGAGCATGCCATTGTTCGCTTGGAGAAGGGGCAGCTTTACAAGCACGGCGCAGCGGAGTATCTGGAGTACTTACGAGGGGTCGGTGGGAATGGAGATGAGGCGATGACTGGGGATGGGGAGGTAGGGGGATAAGGGTTGCCTGGCTTGCAGCGTCGGAATCCAAAAAGTCCAAACCAACCATTCCAGGCTCGAGTTGCTAGTGGCAGAGTCGCCAGCCACCACAACAGCAACGGCGAAAGGGGCGGCAACATCCACGTCCTCGGTCTTCTAGACTGAGGAGTGGGCAATGCTCGCGGCACCGCCAACCAGAACAAGTTGGCGGCGCAGCTCTGGACGGACCAGGCGGGTGGTTCCCACTCTTCTTGGTGGTATCTGGTGGCAGAGGCCGAACGCCAGCAGCTCATTAGACCTGGCCGTATCACCAACGGCCGGATCAGCAAGCCCAAGAAGAATGGACCCAGTGGTTCATATGGCCAAGGTGGCCGCTTCTTCCGCCGCGGCGGAATGAATTGAGACTAGGGAGCCTTACAACCTCTGGAACTCACTCACCCCAAACGACCCAACATAACAACAACTTTTTTTTTTCATTCAACAACCAGTTCTTTTTTTTCAACAACATTCCGGCCTGTGCTAACAGAAAAATGGTAATAGTAATGACGCTCTGCCTATGCTTATGGTTGATCATCGCTCGGCGTTGGGGTGTGGCGTATCGGCAATCAAAACGTCCCCAGGTAACCGGTTGGCTTGAGCCTTTCCCATCATTCTTCTCGGTCCGATAACCACGACAAGGTGGCCACTTTTTGCTCGAGTTGTTTGTCGTTTGGGGGTTTCTTGTGGGCGTCGTACGGGTCTTTCTGGTCTACTCTACGAGATGGTTTGCTGCGCGGAGTTTTTCAAAATGATCATGGGTTTTACGACGGAAAGAGGATGTGGTCTAGTCTCAGAATTCTTGCTTGTCAATGCGTCTTTAGATTGGTTTTACGGCGAGCATTGTTGCTTTCGTTCGTTTCAGCTGGACGATCGAGCGATGGGAAGATTTTCCGCAACCCAGATACAAAGATATCTTGACAGATTCCTCACGAGTTAGCTTAGGTTGGCTTTCACAGTTTCCTGTGCGTGTGGCGGATCATTTACGGGTTAGCATCGCTAAATCACTTCACTTATTCACTGTGCTTCGTTTCGTTATGCTTTGTGCTTCGCAATGTTTTGTCCTTTGTTGCTCTGGGTGTTTCGCTATGATCTCCATCGAGCTTTGCTGTGCCCTTGATCTTGGTTATCCTTTCATGCTTCTAATGCTATGCTTGATGCATCGTGCGTCGCTCCCCTCATGCTTGATGTCGATACTCGCAACCAATGTTTCCCAAGCCCGAACCCTTCCCATACATGGCTGTGGCTGACTATTTACAGGGCCGATTCTTACTACCTGTGTCACGATCATCCATATTATCATGGAGCAGGGCGTGCACTGCCTGCGCCAGGATACCAAAAGATGGAACGTAGTTCTGTTCGCTAGACAGAACTACAATGCACACACTATATAGGACATGTCACAGCTAGGCATCTTACCTTGTGACACATGCCGGAAACGAACTGTCATCCATCCATCATGATTTTCGCAACATGAGATGATTTGGCGTTCCGGCAGATTTTTACTCAATTATGTCTATTGTGATCATGGTTGAGCTTTCCCTTCCACTGATATCTGCCGCGGACCGTACACTCTAATCCTTCTCTAAGGTGTTTCGAGACTTCAAAAGGGGACCTATCAAGAAACCCAATTACCATCAATACAAAGAGCTAACTTGTCATTTACTTCGCGTACACTACCCTTTTCTTATACGTGCACCAGTCCCTATACGTGCTCGATCACAAGCCTTACAACGAGAGGCGATAAGCAACAACGCTATACGACTTCCAGGCTCATTGGACTGGCTCTTAAAGGCTTGGAGCGGGCTAGGTTTGATTGGGAATTGATATGGGGATTTTATTCAACCAAAAAGGACAGAAAGAAAGAGAAAAAAAAAAAAAAAGAAAGAAAGAAAGAACCTCGATTTGAGCAACGATGACAAATAGGGGCGGGGATTGAATATGAATTACGCTGTCCCGCTTCCCTGCTTTTCGCACTCCCAAAGTCACGTCCAGTCCTTTACCGCCCTGCACCCTATGGCTCATATCTCTGCCTGTCCTCGAGCCCCAAATCCCTAGAACCTGCGTGATCCCGTCCGATCACTGTGATCCACAAGGTGAGTTTAGGTTTCGGTCTCTATCGGGAATGACTCTGCGTGGAATGGAAGGAGGTAGAAACGCTTTCGTCTGAAGTTGGGCTGAACACCTCTTGCAAATACGTAGAAGAAGCCAGGCCGAGATACTTGTAAGAAGAGACGAAGGGGCCAGACCGGGGTGGGGTCCCGTCATTTGACTGCCCCTGCCCTGTATGAACAGAACCGCCCGGAAGTTCTAGAATATTTAGGAAGGCGGGTATAACAATAAGTGGAGCAAACGGATTTAGGCCTAGCCGTCAAGGTCCCTTAGCTGGCTTTGTCTGCTCAAACGGTTTCCTGGGTCAATGAAAGATGGAGGACAATTACAGTGGAGTGGGAAAGCTGTGGTGAGTGATGTGTGCCTCCCTGCTGGTCCAGCAAGGTAAGGCTGTTGAACCACCTGCGCCTGCCAACTGGGGGTCCGTTGAGGTCAGTCGTGTCTAACCAACTGAAGACCAACGATCCAGCCTCGCTATTTCTAGTGGATCGGATGACGAAGGCACGACCGTGAAGATTGTTGGGAACGGAAGCTAATGATGGGGCAGGTGAGATCACTCAACGAAAGACGGGGTGCCCGTTGAGCTTCCCCTCCTTCCTTAGGGCTGGCCCGGCGTCTCGGGCCCGAGGGGCACCAGGCAGTCATTAGGAAAGGGCCAGGGGGTGGGGGACAATCAAGAAACGGAGGCAAGAAACGGAGGAAGAGAGGGAGAGGGTGGGGGACGATGCCTTGCCAGGCAGGTGATGCCAGCTGTCTAATCAGCAGGAGCTGGAATATGGCCGAATCTGATGTTGACACTCGTAAGTTACTATTCGATCTTGGAAAGGTAGGTACTGTGAAGAAGGATGTCCATGACGATGGAAGACCAAAAAAAATAAGAACTTGCAAGGGTGTTTAGGTAGGTAGAACCAGGCAACCCGCGTTTCTTCAAAAGAGCTACAAAAAGAAAAAAAAAAGGAGGAACGACCGATCGCAACCGGCCCAGCCCGGAGTTGAACCGGGACCTGCTTGTTTTCGCCTTATTGCTCGAGGCCAGCTCGAGACTTACTAAGTAGCTATTCTGCCTGTGTGCTGCCCATTACACCACAAGACCATTTGGCTGTTATCGTTCGTTGAAAGGTGGTCTAACCTCTGTCATTATATGGCCCCATTCAAGTTCCTTTCTCACGGGCAAATCCAGTACAACAGGATACTCTCTTTGTTGCAGGCGCAGCGTTTGGATGTATGTATTGTTACCTGGCTCGCACTGTCTATCTGTTATATCTTTCGTGAAGTTGTTGTCCATTTGGCCTCGTTGTGGGAGACGTTTGTACAAGATTGGTGCGCATGTATCGCAATGCCCATGCTTGTCGTTAGCTATGCTTTTCTGTGAAAGTTTGATCCATATAATGCATCTGAGGCTGTTGATATTCCAACCGTTTGGCTACAATGATGTTGGTTCTTCCTTTCAGATGCAAGAGGATGTAAACGTGGCTATTATGGAAGTTATCGTACCTAGGTAATGTCTACTTCAACGGCACGATATAGTTCTAGGGTCTTGTTCACAGAGTTACATGTTCCTAGTCTCCTGAATTGACCATATTGACTCTACCTACTGCTTGGTCACCATTTGGTTACTTCTTGTCCACCTACCATGTTTGCGTTTACGAAGAAGATTGTAAGGCCTTGCATATCTTGATAGCACTTGAGCAGAAGTAGCTTCGACCATATCCAAGATGTTACACAATTTTACGCACTTCCCAGTTCCCACAACCTACCAAGACCATTATTAACGAGCTTGAAAGCCTTCATTCTATGTTAATTCTACTGGCCGTTTTTATTCAGGCTGGAGAACTTTCGTTCCATCGCATGTTTGTAAGCCTGGTTGTCAGCCTTGTAGCTGAGCTTGAGTGGCTCTTGACCCGGCACTACATATACCGTTGACTAGAGGTATCGTTTCGTGAGAAGAAGGGACTGATGCTGCGTGCTATCTCTTTTGGTCTAACCCATACACCTCTCCTGACAAACTTCATTCCTTGAAACCGCATCTTTCATCGTTTGTTCGGCCATAAACCGCCTGTGGATGATCTTTCAATGATACTACCCCTGAAAACAGTTGCTCAAAGAAGCAAAACAATAACATGCTACCCCTTTCAGACAGCAACCAACCATTAAACATCACACAAAGCTCCTCTTTGGGTTGCTCAACATCACTACATGCGCTTTGCAAAACAAGCACTGCAGTGTCACGGCCACCTGACCCGTCACCAGCTTCCACAGCACATGCAGATACATGTCCGTAAACTGCAAGGGGAAGAAGTATCACTCGTACATAAGCAGTGCCAATGTACACAGTGCTGTAGGCGGCCGTCATTATTGGGCAGGAGTCACTGGTGACGTCGGGCCCATTCATAGGTTGTCGTTGGTTCGGGATGCATCCAATCACGGGGGTTCTGGAGAGGAAATGTTCTTGACTGGCAGTGGTTCAAGAAAGGTACCTACCGCAGGGGTCAATCTTGACGGTTTTGCAGACACTGCGCGGTTGAAAGTCTATGTACATGGAAGAGGTCTGGTTCTTTAAGGGCCAGTTCGGACGGAAGAGAGCACCGACATGGAACTCTTCTGCCCCAAATGTCGCCCACCCAGATCATGGACCGTGGTCGTCTCCCAGACGGCAGTCGTATTTATATCCGAGGTAGCATTCTCGATCGGGAATCGCTTGGTTGTGAGGGATCGTGTGTGGGTACCTTAGCATTCTGCCAAGCTCTCCCAACCCCAAAGGTGGCTTGCCCCTATCCCCCTTTCAGACAGGCAACAGCCCGTTATGTACAGGCGTGCTGCTTGCTGCAGCCTCTCTGCACATGCAGGGTTCACGACCTGGTTTGGGTCTCGTATGAATCTTTGGTGGCTGGGGTTTTCCGTTCGTTCGCTGTTCCGAGTCGTCAGTTGCTGGCCACCGCTGGGCCCTGTTCCGCTAGTGCTGAGAATTGGTGCCGTAGTACCGATGTTGGCTGACGTTGGGAGCTGAGACCTGTTGTTGATTCCCGATGTATTTATGATGATGACTTCCTCTTCTTCATCGTTCCACCGCTTCTTTTTGTCTTTTCCCCCTCTCTCCCCTCTGTTAATGCTCGGACGACGACGACGACGGCGACGACGACAACTCGATTTATGGAACCGGCTGGACACTGCTAGAGGTTAGCTCATGCTTGGAAAGCAGCAGTGGTGAAGGAAACCAACTTTTGGGAAGACTGAAGAAGGAGTTTGAGGTGGTTGGTAGCTTGGAGCCGCCCTCTAGAAGGACTCATTCGACAATCCCGGTAACCTCGAGTTTTTCAACACCGAGTTCCGAAGAGCTTCCCCGACGTCTCACAGTTCCGGTTTGTTTAGGGGTGGGGCAGGACTGGGAGGTGCTAGCAACAGTGACGGAACGTGTGTTGGACGGTATGGATGGATGTCGAACGGGGTCCTCGAAGCCTTTCGAGGTATGATTCTGGCCCAGGGCTTGTCTTCAAGCTGTCGCAAATCATGTCCCGGTTTTTGGCCCTGATGTATGAGGCGGGAATTCTCGCCGTAATGGGTTGGTGGTACCATGGATGGAAAGGGGATCTCAACGCGAGGGTGGACTTGATCTTCCCGTGCTTCTTTCCGGTACGTCTCTCGGCTTGAGTAAAGATGGCAGTTGGAATCGTAGGACTCTTGCTGACATTGAAGGCATAGCTGGGCGTTGCTGTCATTGTGAACGCGTATGAGATCGTCTCTTTCTCGTGCTTGGACCGGCGACGGCCGATCAATGTCATTGCCGTGTGCTTCGACATCCTGATTTGCGCTGGTAGCACCTTTTGTTTCCTCCTTCTAGGGCTTATCGACAACGACCCAGTTCAAGACAGACTTAGAACGGACTCCACGCGAGAACGATGGAAGAAGGACCAAAGTAAAGCCATGATCTTCATGATTGTGTTTTGGTAAGTGGCCGTTTCGATTCATTGTGTCCAAATCTGGAGTGTCTTATGGGGAACACTCGCATCGATGATTGCTCCTTCCGCCTTTGCCTAGTCGCAGGAGTTAAAAACGGCCTTCCCTCTGTGCCATTCATTGATACCATTGCTGACTTCAGGACTTCCCAACACAGCTTTCTTCATGCGATGTTTGTAATCATGGCTTCGGTTGGGTGTGTATACTCGGGGGTATTGAAGACCAGGGCGCGAAGGCAAAGGCGGATAGCACGAAACCGAGCGCAGATGGTTCGGTTTGCAGAGGAACGGCGGAGGCGAATGGAGGTAGAGAAAGTCCAAGTCGAGGCTCCGGTTGAGGATGCCGGACAGAGTGAAGAACAAATACCCGAAAGAACCCCAAGGGGTACGGAGTCAACGGAGTCAACAGAGCTGGAGGACAGCGAACGAAACACGAGGAAACGATTCAGTGGAGGAACTGAGGTCATGTCCTAGCCGAGGCGGTTACGGTACTTTCTTGGGACCGTTACTTGGGGCGTGTATGGTTGGCCGTCTTCCTTACGTGTCGTCTTCTTCTTACGACACGTTTATTACCAGATATCGTCGGACCTTCCGTCCTCACCTGTCTCAGACAAGGCTGCTCCGTTTCAAGGTGTACTTTGGGACCTTGCGAAAATTCTTGTCCTACTTCCCCGCACAATCTACTTGACCTTCCCACCAAATTCTTCAACTTTCCACCTCTCAAACTTGAGTCATCAAGAACATTCTCTCGCATTCCACTGCCTCCTTCAACTTGAAGTACTTCAACTTTCACCTTTCAACACCACCTTCAACACCACGTCGCGGCAACCTTGCACTCAACTTCTCAAGATGACCCAGATCCCCTGGCTTGACATCTTTGACGGGCCCGTCTCCAACGCCTCAGAGCTCAACTTTGCCTTAGCCAGAGCTCGCGCGGAGGACGCTCTCTTCTACCATCCCAGTAATGGGAACTCTCCTGTGCCCCCCTCGCGGGCTAGCACCTTGAGGACGAGCCCCCCTACCCAAGCTGACGAGGACGAGAACTTACGACGATTCAGCATGAGGCCCCCTACCCAACCGATCCTTACTGACGAGGACGCGTATTACGCGGCGCAGCTGGAGCTGATCCGTAAGAAGTACATGCGCGTCATGGACAAGAAGAAACCACCCCCTCACCTCGCTGTGAGAATCTGCAAGAAGATTTTTCATGGCGCGTTCATGGCTGCCTTGTTCCTTTCTCCTCTCTTCCTCCTCCTCAACAAGGCTCGCCGTGCCGCAAGGGGTTGAGTCCCTCCTCAAGGGCTCCCCTCTTCCTGTGCTCACCACCAGGGCACGTCTGACCAGGGGTTGAGTCCCTCCTCAAGGGCGCCCCCTTCCTATCAAAGTATTGTGATGTAAGTTTGATCATCCAACACCAACGTGTTTGTACCTTGGAAGCGCACACCAAGCAGTTGACTAGGAGTGCTAACACATTTCCCGACACATCTAGACATCTCCTTCGCTCCCGCTGCCCAAGCGGCGCGGTCTTTGAGCAACGACAACCACTGCTGATCCATTGTTTGTATGAGGTATGAGCTCCATGAACTGGCTTGACGCGCGTCTCCACCTGTTTGGTACCTTACCTTTTTCCCTGTTTGAAAACACCCTTTGCTACGAGTTTGGGCATTTTGGGTCTGGCAAAGGGACCGAAAAAGCTCAATGGACACTCACGCTTCTTTCACTCTACGATCATGTCAACACAATAAAGTGCACCTGACTGACCTGGCTTGTGATAGTAATGTGCCTCGGGCCAGCACCACCAAGAAGCTGTCCGCCGAGGATAAGAAGAAGCAGAAGAAGAAGAAGAAGAAGTTCACCACCCGTGGCACCACCAAGGCCTCCAAGGCCAGGAAGGTCAAGTTTGCTTGGCCCAAGAAGGTCCGTGTCGGCGACGAATGTACTGTTGGCCACGTCAGGTAATGTTCCGCTCCCATTCCTGTCACTCCTTAGCCGTTGTATAGGGTTGCTGACCATTCAATTCATGAACCACAGTGGTCAAATCTCTGGTTCTTCGATAGTGGCCGGCCGATGACGGGACACAACATACGTCCCGTCATCGGCCAAGCAAAACAAGCATCACCACCACCTCTACCGAATCCAG